CGAGTACTCTTCGTCGTAGCGTAATACTTATACTCGTACGCGCGCGCATTGCATGCGCGGCCTAGAGAGAACCACGCCGCACGCGTAAGAGACGCTTCAATATTAATGAAGGACTTCCGTCAGAATCGCCTGGCCAGTAATTCCATCACAATATTTAGTATTATGAAAAAAAATGTAATGAGGATTTCAAAGCTCTGGTAGGATTTTTTTTTGGTCAATCAGCTGTAGCATAAACACATTTTGTTATCAAAAAAGAACTATATCAGCTATTTCGATTTATATGTCCATTTTTAAATATCACTTCAAAACAGCATCTTTCCCCCTTAATAAATTACTGCGATAAAATATAGCTACTCATGCATTTTAAAAAATCCTCTCGGTATATTACCTGAATTTCCAGGCACACATTTTTTTAAAACTTATGCATATTTTTATTTCTCACTCGATGCAAAAAAATTTCCTTTACTCGAGAATCAGCCTCGCACGTGCCGAGTATAATAATTCTATACAAAGCTTTTCTGTTTCTTTAAATTCGACGCGTTGAGAGAGAGAGAACGTTGTCAATTTATAATAGCTCCTCCTGTATGGGCAGTAAACATTCATCTAATGACTCCATTGAGTCGAGTATTATAGGCAAAAAACTTGAAGTTTTCGGTCTATTTTAGTCGAGCAGACACCATTCACGCAAGTACCTATATAACTTACGCATACACACACGATTGCGGGGAAGAAGTTAACATAGGTCCCCTTCTTTTTTCTTCTTTTTTGTTTGTTTTATTTTGGTAGCCGAACGACTGCTCCCGTTAAACGTTTACTACAAAAATCGTGCATCAAGCAGACAGACATAGGTACAATTGTAGCATATTAACACGAAAGATCTGATTTAATATGTTGTAGTAGAGACGTGGAGGGAATCCTCCAATTTTTTTTCATTGTAAGATCCCGGGGGTTTTTTTGCCATGATCTTCTCTGTTTTTGTCTTAATTTCATTGTTTCCTCAATCAAGAAATATCATACACGTAACATTGATGTGGCACGTTTTTCTTTTTTTCAAGTTTCCGTTGGGTCGTACTTCTACTTGGATTTTTTCCTTTAAATAATTTATTCTAGAATAAAAAATTATTATGTGGCGTAACCTTTGCAATTTGAATAAAAATGAAAAAAAAAAACATAATCCGGGCGCCAGTTATGGGTTGTTGAGTGTATAATTCGAAGTCCGTAACGTAACCAAGTGTTTGTTCATGTTCTTTGGTGCGATGAATTGATTTGTATTGGGTACCAAGCTTTAAAATTGGTACTTTAAAAGTTAAAGTTGTTTTTTTACGCACGAATTTGTTTAGAAACCAATCATATTTTTAATTTTTGCGATTTTTCAACTCGGTAAGGAATGTCTTAAACGAAATAATGTAAAGAACAAAAAATGCTTAGAATTAGTCAAAGAATACTGGTTAATCATGGTTGATACCGCGAGCGATATCGAACTTTAAAAGTACAACTTTTAAAAAAATGTTCAAGTCGAATAGTAGTGAACATGAAATGTTCCAATATCAAATATATCATGTACTGACGGGACTGAGAGGGAAAGTCAATACCTCCAGGCTCAACCTGAATTTGTTAATGAACTGAAAAAAAAAACTTTTTTTGTTGTTAAAAATGTACAAGAAACCGTTTTAAACTCTGCACACGCACGAAATATGATAATGAAGAAATCATACACCACCAACAAATACTTGTATTATATCGTGAACAATAAAAAATGAGGTAACAAATTCTTTATTAATTTTAAATATTAAGTCTGAAATTCATTTCTCTGCCCTAATCGTGCATCATTCTCTCAACCGTGCTTATGGCCACCTGTCACGAGGTATCCCTCTCGTTTTCAATATTTCTCGGGTAAAGAACAAGCTCCAAGTATATATGAAAGAAAAAAAGATCGTATGTTTTTCGTCTCTTCCTTTTAACAATGTGTCCTTAATAACGACCCGCGCGATTTCATTCATTCATTACACGATAATGCTCGAAAAAACACCTCGTGACGCTCGCAGGTGTGTCGATTTTCTTAAAAAAATAAAAAGGAGCCACGAAAGAAGCCGACGCGAGCGAACGATCGTGTATCGGCGATGCCTACGCTCAAGTACTACAATACAATGCCGTAAACCGACGCCACGGCGCGTTTGATTTTTTCATTAGCGATTTTGCGGTATCCGAGAATACGTATTATACGTTCCTGCAAGCGGTACTTTTTTCGCGACTCGGCGAGGCCTCGCGTACCGTGGCGCATTATTATAGGCAACTATTTGGTCATTGATTTCCTCTTTATGTATACATAATGTAGCAGGTACGTACGTAGTTCGGTTGCGATCGCTGGTGACAATGGCAAAATGGCTCGATTATTGTATCGGCAAAGGTATAATATGTACACGAGTGTCGCGCCGCGTCCGTTATACAAATATCGACGCGAAAATATTCATCTTCTCGCGTGGCTCGTATCTATGTACACTTCTTCGTTCATCGCGACGACGAAGATGAGATATCCGAGCGCTCTCCAAAACTTACACTATTTCCTGTCTAGTCTGGTTATTTCTCTGTGTCTCGTTTTGAAAAAATAAGAAAGAGTATACTTAAAATTGTGCCTCGACCGAATGTCGAGCGATATCGAACCGCGAGCTACGATGTACAATAAAGTGAAATTATAGAGTGCGCGCGACATTCGAAATTGCACAGGCTCTGGTCGAAGACGCGTGCAGGTATAGACCCGGACACCCAATGTCAAGTTGAGTACATTCGTACCGTACGGTATGTACGACGATCGGTTCGATTTAATTATAAACAATATTCTTGAACTTGAGAGAAGAGGTCGATGCAAATGAAAAAACGTATACGCGATGTACATTATAGACACAGCGGCGACACATATTGACATGATTAACCGATACCCCGTGTGAATATTGTATCGTTCCAGTTGTATATTTACGATCGGTCACGAGAGCTTGCGGCGAAGCATAATAAACGTAAACCGTTGAATTTGAGATTCTTCAATGGTTAATTACACGACGTGTATATCGGTACGTTGAAATAATTAACTTTGGAAACTCTCTCGAGCTTCGATGGAATCGTCCGTATACGAGATGACGATCGCTAATTACCTGCCGATCGATCGGTATGCATAGTACATCGCTTACCCATAGCTCTCATCGAAGTGTATGACCATCGGGGGGACTTCATTGTAATGAGAAGAAGAAACTGATTTCACGCACACAAAACCCGAGTGTACGAGTAAATGTAAAGTAAGATTTCACGAGGACTCGAGTTTCGTCTCTCTTTCCCTTGATAAAATCGGCCGACTTTGCCCTATATGGAGTTGTGTCAACGCCACGTTCGTTCGTTCGTTCGATGCGGCCAAGCCCATATGCGCTCGATGTGCTCGTTTTGTATTTTCATTCACGCTTTAAACTCTTGATTGAAAGTGAGGCACTTATACGTACGTATCGATGACTTGTTTTATTTTTTTTTATTGGGAATGTGGCGAAAAATAAATAGACAGGACTCCATCGTAATTACACAATTCGATCGTTTGTTTATCTTCTGACGCGCGCACAGCACGTATTGTGCAAAAAAAAACAGCGCATAAAGCGAGAGTGTGTCAACTTTTGGCAAAAAAAAAAAAAAAAGAAGTTAAACCGTGCATAAGAACAAAAGAAAAGAAGTGTCGCGAGCAATTTCATTCGCGCTAATTCGACGATCTTTTCGCATTACGTCCGTATTACGTCAGCGTCGCTCCTCGCGCACACATCCATTAAAAAAAAAGAAGACGAAGAAGAAAGAGAAAAGTCGTCTTTTGTATCGAATCCGACGATTTCGACTTCGTTCCCGAGTGTCGCTCGTTATAAGCACGACAAAACGTTCTCGTCCGATTTCTCTTTAATACCGTCGGATGTGCATCGGCAGCAGCGATGCGTGGGCGAGATACATAAACCCGTCAGCGATGATGTGTGTGCTTACGATCCGTATGGAACTGCACCATATATTGCGTAAAAGTCTCGTACCGGACCAATTTATACCCTATTATAATATTCGTTCAGCTGTACATTGTTCTCGCTCGTTGTACTTTATATCAATATGTTGACCATCAAAAGTAGTTGATTGAAAAAGTTTGAAGAAAAAAAACCATATTTTCATAAGTGTGAAGTGTCAAGAATCAATTTTGTGAAATCCTGCTTGTACACTCACACGAGAACAGTGCTTTTCGCGTTTATCCTTTAGAGAGCTACTGCACCCTTCTTTCGTTCATTTATACTCCTTCACTTTTTTTCTTGCTTGCTGCTCTCGACCTGCTGCGTCGTCGTGTTTTCTTCCGGAATGACGTTTTTCGTGAATTAATTTATATAATGGTAGCGCTCACTACGTCGGAAAAAGGGAAAGAAAAAAAAAAGTAAAATTGCGCGCAACAAGAGACAAAAACAGGCTCAACCATTGCGCGACTTTAATTTCTGTATGAAAATGAATTTGATTTTTAATTTCAGTTCTCGCGCGTAATTTCGGTCATTAAAGAATTAAAAGCTTCTGGAGCCCGAGACGTTGGTTGATTTTTCCATGTAGGCTAGTCGGACCTATCAATGACCGGGTACCAGTGAATGACTATTTTAGAAAATATCATATGAAAAACAATTAAAAATATATTTGTATGAACGTAATTCAATTCTTTAGTGAAACGATGCATCTTGTTTTCTATGTTCGATCATAATTTAACAAGATAATTATTGCACAACAAAAAGTGCTCATTTTACTGGTCGAAAGAGGTCAATCACTGGTATAAGTACCCTACTCTTAGATTTATCTGTTAAAATAATATACTTTTTGTGTAAAAATTTCTCTGCACCTACCGCACGTTGGTGTAAGCTAATTGTGCCCCTGAATGAATGACATTTTCATTACAATTGCGGTGTAATTTTCATGACATGTTAGTGCCTTACTCATCGTAGTACATATTTCTCTACACTCAGTAGCTGTTCATCTATTCCTGCCGTAAGTGTTTACAAATAACATCCGTCAAAGTGTATACATGAAAATAAGATACTGTGTTGGCTACTCAAGGCATCTAACTTTAACTGATTTCTCAGCGGATATCGTAAAAATCCACAGTAAATTACTTTAACCCAGTGAGAGATGGAGAACAGAAAGGACTCATTTAGGTATACACTTTTTTATGCATGGAAAAAACTGTTTTTTAATCGATTGTTTCTTTAGTATTAAAGAGGAACCGTTTGATGATTGGTCAGATGTCGGCGAATATTATGACGATCGAGTGGCTTCGGGCAAAGCCGAAAACTTTGGAGATCAATTAACGATAAATGAACCATCAGTGAGTTTCATCTCTTATGAATTATATTCAAATTTCCACTATCAAAAACTACACGAGATTTTGATTTTAGGCCAATGACACGAATGAGTCTATGCCATTACAGGATGGGTTAGAGGGGATAATTTTGGTGGATTTCGATAGCAAAAATGTAAAAACTGAAGTTGAGTTTTCATCTACATCCATCTGCAAAACTGTGAATCAAATTTGTCAACCTATTGTGAAATTAGAAAACGAAACTCAGACCCATGACATCAATGACGATATTCACATTGATTTGGAATGCAAAAATTTTAAAATTGAACTGTTATCTCTGTCACCCTCCATCTGTAAAACTGAGAATCAAAGTTTTCAACCTATTGTGAAATTAGAAAACAAAACTCAGACCCATGACATCAATGACGATGTACTCATCGATTTTGAGTGCAGGGATGTTAAACCCTCATTGACGACCGTCAGTCCATCTATTGTGAAAGCAGAAATTCAAAATCAAACAAATCACTTGAATGAAAAAAGATTGATAATTGTTATAAAAAAAGGATTCGATTACGATAATAGAAGTCAATTTATAAGAGGAAAAGCAAATATTAAACCGACTCACAAGGGCATTGGACCACTTGAATATAAAATTTGCAACAAGTCATTTGCAAACAAACCAAACATAAAAAGGCACATAAGTACAGTACATAAGCGGAGCAAATCCTTTGAGTGTAAAGTTTGTCACAAATCGTTTGGAGAAAAAAGAAACCTCATGAAACACATGAATGGAGTACATAATCGAAGTAAACTCTTTGGATGTAACATATGTTACAAATCATTTAGGCAAAACAGGGATCTTAAAGTTCACATAATGAAAATACATGAGCATATTAGCAAACCCTTCGAATGTGATATTTGTCACAGATCATTTAGACGTCAGAATCAACTCAAGCGTCACATAAATGCAGTACATAGTCAAATTAAACTTTTCGAATGTAGTATATGCCATAAATCATTTAGTCAAAAACCTCATCTCAAAACTCACATAAATTGCGTACACAATCATAGCAAACCTTTTGAATGTGACATTTGTCACAAATCATTTGGACAAAAAATCCATCTCCAACGTCACATAAAAGCAGTACATGACCGAATTAAACCTTTCAAATGTAGCATATGTCAGAAATCATTTGGACAAAAGATTAGCCTCAAAATGCACATAATGGCAGTACATGAGAGGAGCAAACCCTTTGAATGTGATATTTGTCAGAAATCATTTGGACGAAAAAGTGAACTTGAATCTCACATAAGTTTAGTACATCTTCGTAGTAAACCCTTTGAATGTGATATTTGTCAGAAATTATTTGGACGAAAAAGTGAACTTGAATCTCACATAAGTTTAGTACATCTTCGTAGTAAACCCTTTGAATGTGATATTTGTCACAAATCATTTAGTCAAAAATATCATCTCAAATATCACATAAATTCCGTACACAATCATAGCAAACCTTTTGAATGTGATATTTGTCACAAATCATTTGGATACAAAAGTCAACTCACTACTCACATGGAGGCAGTTCATAAACGTGAAAAACCTTTCGATTGTGAGATTTGTCATAAATCATTTGGATATCAGAATGTACTGAAAGGTCATAGAGTAACAGCTCATAATCTTGGAAATCCCTTTGAATGTGATATTTGTCAAAAATCATTTGGACAGAAAGGTACTCTCAATAAACACATAAGTGCAGTACATAACCGGATCAAACCTTTTAAATGTAATATATGTTACAAATCATTTGGATATCACATAGTACTCAAACGCCACATAATGACGATACATAATGAAAGCCAGCCTTAGGAGTGTGACATTTATTCGATGACATTTGGACTCAACGAAGACTTTTGTAATCAGTCGGGTTGCGCTATGTAATTTTAGACAATTTTTCTTATAAACAATAAAGCATTTCAAACTGTCATTTACTTGGTCGTAAATGTGAAAGCCTTTGACCCAACTTTCGAAGATAAACTTAATCCTCGTTCTGAAGCATATCGACGAATTAATTTATTTGAAACGAAACGCCGCGAAAAATCGTCCCGATTGTTTCTTCTATTAAACGAACGCATTAAATATATATAATCGATCGAATCGTCGAAGGGTGCATTTGACTCACACGTATACGTTCGTTATGCCTGTCACGCGTCACACATCAAGGAGAAAACAAGGAACTGTATTACGAACGCTTATAAATATGCCACAGGCCAGCGATGACAGAGAGGAGCTTATAGTCGTCTCCGTCGTCGTTGTGTTTTTTTTTCTTCGAGCTTATATATACTACTCTGCTATACACCATCGAGCTCGGCCTTATTTTCAGCGCAAATAATTGCATATTACGCTCGTACGTAGGCTTGCATTTGCCCGACATGTCTGCGTCCCCGCGCGCGCCCGTGTGTGTATGTGTTTGCAAGTCAGTCGTCGGATTATAAACTTCATCGCGCAACATTATGTATAAGTTCATAAATAAAACGGCACGCGCGCATTACGACCGATTGACGAGAATGAGAAACGATCGGCTTAAGGAGAAAATAAAACAACAACCCAACGACTCGACGCCGTTGTATGTGTGTGTGTACGATAATGTATAATACACCTATACGCGTATAAGACGTTGTTGTGCGTGGAACGTTTCCGGCTAAGGAAACGGAGCGAGTAATGTGGGCAGGACGCGTTATCTCATCTCCTCCACCTTCCCCCCTCCTCCTTCTCCTCCTCCTCTCTCCCTCTTTCTTGTTGCAATTCAGTCGGCCTCTCTCTCTCTCTCTCTCTCTCTTTTTTCCGCCTCTACGGGGCCTCTCTTATAATAATGCGCGCGCGTGTGTGTAGCGATTTATTTTTCTTGTCGCGCACTCGCTCACACGTTTATACTTATATATAATATATGAAGCAGAGAACGACGCGTATCATTTAAATGCTACACGAGAGAAGGGACAACTTTTGTGAAAGGCCGCAGTGCGTCTGAATTTCGTTCGTACACCCACGCGCGCGACGCCGATCTCGACTCGATGTTGTTGTATTACGCCTCGAGAAAAAGGATATGCGTATAACGTAATACGTGTTTATTGAGAGAAAAAAATTTAGTCTCGAAAATTTCGAGCCATGGAGACTTTAATTTGTGGGAAGAGAGAGAGAGAGAAAGCAACGATGACGGGCAGAACGATGTATGTGTGTGAAATTTCATCGATTTATGTCCAGGTGTCGAACAACAAGCCATATTGATAATTAACCATTATTCATCGGTGGTAAACAAGAGCTACCCACTTTTGAAACTATACAAGTGTAATGCGTACGTGAAGAAGCTTATGTATAGCTGATTTTAGCAACATGTTGAGCTCTGCGTGGGATCGTTCACTCGCTCGAAACAATTCAATAAAAATACAAAATATTCGTTGGAGGTGGTTCGATGTTGTTACTTGATTATCGACGCTCTTTATTAAGCTCCTGAAGGAAGGAAAAGAATCGAATGGTGCATATTATTGTAAGAATAGCTCAATTGTATCGTCAGGTCTCAATAAATTTGAAATTATTACAGTTTTACAAGTGATCAATTAATTATTCACGTACTAAATCGTACTGATGAAACTCTAAAGGCAATGTCTAAAATAATCATTTGCTGTGCAGTTGCTACATGAAAAAGAAGATTTGTTTCGATATTTTGTACGTTGCTACCTCATGCAACGTCGATCATTCATTCGATAATTACAAACTAATACTATAGAACTCGACATTGCTTTCATTAATACAAGCATTTAATTATCAAATTGCAAGGCCAGCGATTTTAAGGCAGAAATTATGACCTAAATCGTTCCTATGATTATGCTCACTCATAAACATGTAGTAACAGCCGTTATTCTTCAATAAATACCCTAATCTGTTTTACAGTAATTATACTAAATTTAAGCTATCAAAATAAGTCTTATAAAGTGCAAAAGAAATGGCGACCAATTTTTAATACTTAAATTATTCACAAACATGAAGTTTTATATTATCAAAAATATACAATAATCATTCAAAACACTCAAGTTATTTTTATACATTTTGGCACAATCAGACTTAATCATGCATTATCTGGTATAATTAAAATAACAACTTTTTATTCCAGCAAAAATTTGTTGACCATTTCATTGAACTCTTTTGCAAATCTCAAATGAAGATTGTGAGCTCCTTTTTCGAAATATTCCACCCTGAAAATGAAATAATTTACATTAAAAGAACAATGGAAACAAGTAAATGTATAGAATTTATTTTTAAAAATGTTTACCGAGAATCAGGTATGTGTGATTTCAAAAACTCTGGATGTTCTCTCAATACCATGGGATCCTTCTCTCCGTGTATTATCAAAGTCGGACAATTGATTTTTCTCACTTCGCCTTTACAGATGTCACCGTTTCTCGACTGGAAAATTCCTCTCATCCCGTCCACCCAATCGCTCCAAGTACGTCGAAAATATTCCTCGCCATAGATCTCGATCAGGGGTGCTCGCATGCGCTCCGACCACGAGTCGATGTTTCTTATTTCTGCAAAAAAAAGAGTGACGTCATTTTTAACACAGTATACAAATGTGCGAGTCATAATCTGTAACAACACGACGTTACTTTCGTAAATGTCCATCTCCTCTGGCTTGATGTACGCGTTGGCTCCGAAAACTATCATTTTCCGGACATTTTCAGGATACCTCGCAGCCAGTATCAAGGACGTTATTCCTCCGTCGCTCCAACCGACCAGGGAGAATTTCTCGTGGCCCAGCTCGAGCATGAGCTTCTGGGCCCATTCTGCGTCGCGTTCGAAGAAATTCGCAGGAAACGTTCTGGCGGGAGGTCTCGACTTGCCGTAGCCGGGAGGATCCCAAGCTATCGCGGTCAGCTTTTCCTTGTCGAGGCCCTCCAACTGCGGTTTGAAATCCGTCCAAATTGTTCCTGAATATTCGTATACATTTTACTCGCGATGCTACATGCGATGTATACGTCGAAGCAGAGTTTAGAGTAACCTACCTAGAGCTCCGGGAAGAAGAAGAACTGGATGTTTTCCGTTGCCGGATTTGGCGTAATTGATATCTATGTTCTCGACCTTGACAGTTTGCTCCTGGAAACGTTATCACGTGGAGTAAGTGAGTTAACAATAAAAAGGTAGAAAATATGTCTTTGCATGCAAAACTCACCATTGCAGTTGAGGCATTTGTCGACAGATTACATGCTTTTGTGAAATTTTTTAAAAAAGAAGTAAAAACTCCATTGTACATTCGAAAACTTTTGTTAAAATAATTCATTGTCAGCGTGACGTTTGCCATGTTGATGTAAACTCTTGAGAAACTATCTTGTAGATGACGTGCGTAATTATCTTTGAGAGATGAGAGATTATATTTCAAATCATTTAATAAAAGTGACTATTTTTGAAATTGTTACATATGTTGACGGTATCAACTCAGTTGTTAATTACTGCGCGAAAAGAAAATTAGAGAAGAAAGACATTTTTACAGCAAGTGCTGTTTAAAAATTTTAAGTTTCAAAATATTTAAATTTTTTTCTTAAATATCGAATAAAAAAGTGCAATAAATTAAATTCAATGAAATAAATAAGCATTAGAATTTATATATTCTATTTCTACCTATTAAAAGTTCAAGTACAAATTGATCTTAAAATTGTATAACAAGTTTAAAATGAATCATATTAATCAATAATTTTGGTACATGGTAACTAATGTTGATATCTTCGAAAGGTTCAGTAAAGTTACCCGTAATAACTTTTTTATGCCCCATTTTATTCAACTGAGCATTAGGTAATACATAATTGATCAATACACATTCAGCATAGATGAGTGATATTGAATTTAGTCTAGATGGTACAGTTTGCAAACTTATAATCTGCAAGTATATTAGGTTTATAAAATATTTTTTAAGAATATGCATATGAAAATTTATAAAAACGTCACGCGTCTACTAAATTTAACATGAGATGTATAAAAATTAAGAATCTAATAAATATTGATCTATACAGGTAGCAAACTAAATAGAAAATCATCAAAGTCATTTATTCATCCCTACATAATCAACTCAGCCCAATATAAATAAAACTAACATTTTTTCTTCACTTCATTAAATGAACTGATGTATTTGTAAAGTTTATTAAACAAATTAGTACCTCAAAGACTTTTTTTAAAAAGTACTATATATTTTTATTTAAAAAAGCGTCATGTAAAATATCCAACATTTGTTGCCATTGACTAACTTTTCATGACGTAAAAATAAAAAAATTCTTTGCTATAAAAAAAACCCATTGAAGGTTTTTTCATCCAGATGTTACATTGCCTAGTTTTACTTTTTAAAACAGATCTTGATAAGGTCATTTAATAATTAATCTTAAATAGGTGAAATGAATGATTAGAAAATATAAGTGTATATTGCTTATCATGAATCTTGAGCTTTATCTTGTGCTTTACGATATTCATCTACTAAATATTCTTTATATTTCACTTGATCCTGCCATAGATCTGCTGCATGTGGATTTAGGGGACTGTCATTATTTGGTTCTGAAATACAAAAGAAATTATAAATATTTTCTTTAAAAGTAGTATTTATTGTTAAGAATGGTATTTAAGTTTAGACAATTACTCAAGTTATAATTAAAACGAATAATATAAATGTAAGAAAATTTATTGATACTATTTCAGAAGCTCATTAATTTAGATGCTTTCAGAAGAGGATCCATACCCCAGAACAAAAATCAAATTTTTAAATAAATTTTCTAAATCTTTGATTGAATATCTCACTAAAAGGCTCTATGAGGACCTACATATTGATGTTCTTAAGGAGATCGGTACCCCAGCCCAAAAATCAAAATTTTGATCCAGTTTTCTGAAACTTCTAGTGAATATTTCTCTAAAAGGCTCAATGGCGACCTTCATCTTGATGTTTTAAAGGTCGCCATAGAGCCTGTAGAGCAATATTCATTAGAAGTTTCAGAAAACTGGATCAAAATTTTGATTTTTGGGCTGGGGTACCGATCTCCTTAAGGTTCTCATGTAGCCATTTAGAGAAATATGAGAATAGATATTTTAGAAAACTTGTTTGAAAATTGGAGTTCTGGGTTGTGATAATGATCTCTTTAAACTTTGCTAAGAATCATTGAATGTCAAATGAAAATAAAGAATTGTTACTTACCACCAAGAAGAGATTGGATCGACAACAAAATGGTACGGACGTCATAAAGAGCACTCCATTTGTCTTTCAAAATGTCCAGGCAAATGTTACCTGCGTTATCAACATTGGGATGAAAACAAGGAGTGATGAACCGCACTACTGGTGCACTGTATGGATAGCTTTGTGGGAATTCTAAGCTCAGCTTGTAGGACAAATCGGTGTAAACCTTTGAACATAAATGTAGATAAATAAATATTGTGTCAAACGCAAAGAACTTCTGAAACTCTTAGCTAGGACCAAGGGTAGAGACTTACAGTATCCTGTGGCCCTGTGATAGTTCCAACCCACTTGAATAAATTTTCACCATCGGGGAACGCTGAGATGCCCTTGTCTGCGTGCATCATAAGAAGCATCAACTCCTTTTGCAATCTGTAAAATAACAAAGAGTCATACATCATGAAATTGAAATATAATTACTAAAACACAAAGAAATATCGAGATATCCTCGAGGTTATGAACTGCGATCCAAGCTCATAACCTTTGCAAGCAAAACTAGCAAGTAAATTTCACTGGCTCCAAGGAGGCAGTTATTTCGACAAATTGGCAATCGTATACTAAAAATGATTCCTTCGTTCAATGCAGCGATTAGCAGGCAAGGGTCGCGAACACCCTAGTCAACAATTTCGAACAACGACGAATTGAAAAAACGTAATACTGACCGTTTGCTCACAGCGTGATTGTCCTTGGGTAAACTCGGAGTCTCCTCGCGAGATTTGCCTTGAGCTCCATGAGACGGAAAAAAGGGATTCACGTTCTGGGCCATTGTGTTCCTCGAAGGTTGTTAAGAGTTATATAGAAAGAGAAGAGAGAGAGAGAGAATTAAATATTGTTGTTTTTTTCTGCGTGCGTCTTCTTCCTTCGCCTGTGTGATGAGTTTTTAGCGAAAGCGCGTTGCGAGTGAGAACGAGAGCCAAGCAGCGCCAGCAAACAGCAGCAGCAGCAGCAGTGTAGCGCAGAGCAGTAGTATTTAGCAGTAGAGAGTCGACGAAGAGCTTCGATTAACGAGAGAACGCTCGATTTCTATCGACGATGACTGCTGGCCTGTATGTATATCTCCGCGCGGAGCACACACCAGCACACGCGACGAAGAGGCGCTCAACGCGCGGACTCTTTTTACTGCACTCCTCAAAAACGCGCACCGATGCAAGTCTATTCTCTCGTTCGCGGTATATATCAGATAAGATGTACACACGCAATATATAAATATGCCTTTTAATTTGTCACGACGCGCGGCGCGTGTTTCTAAGGTTTCGCCTCTGTTATGATAATACGCGCGATATCAATGCTGCAATAACGAACGATCGAGCATATATCATAGGGTATGTATCAGTGGCTATATGTGTGCGATATACTGATTAAATTGCGCGTGCTTGTGTCTCGAGCTGTCGGGCGGCGCGCCGTTTTCCCTGAGAGAGCTCCCGTGCGGATGACGCAGGAAACACCATAGGCGATATTTGAACGGCTAAAGGCCGCGTTACGGGTTTCGGAGCTCGCCAAGCTATCGCGGCTATTCGTCTTTACGTGTTTTTTCCTGAGTTTACACGAGTATACAGACGGGGACTCTATTGCCGAAATTATGTGTCTGTCCCCCTTTCATACATTTTCTATTAATTAAATTAATAGAAAAAAGCATTCGATGCGCTATATTTCGGAGCGCGATCGTGACCAAGCCGAAAACATTGGCGAGCGTCAACAGCTGTTTGAAACGGCCAACAAACGCAGTGCGCGCGCCCGCCAGAGCGCAAGCGCAACGAACACTTTTCAAGTCGTCGATTCGAGATAACCGCAAATTATAATTAGTATCTTTAGTGCATTATTTCAGTTAGAGTAACTGTAATTGTGGTAGCCCAAGCTGTAAATTGTTAATATCGATTGAATTTTTTTCGAAATCGCGCGTTAAACGTCGAGGAATTCGAACACAGCCTCGATCGATTTTCCGCGCGCGCTCTATAGTGCGTTGTTTGGGTCCGAGGTTTGCTGAACGGTTAGTAAGTGTATGTCATGTATGTGTAATGCGTACCACGTCGAGAAACAAGTGCCTTTTTAACGGTCGGCGGTCGCCTTATCGCGCGAGTTCAAAAATCATCGTTCAACCCTATACCGCATAATGTTTTGGACGTTTTGCTTATACCACGCAGGTAGTTAGTTACATTTGTCATCGTACGTCGTTACGAATCTTTTATCGTTTGAAAAATGAAATTTATCGATACATCACAACTTTATCCGCAGATTTTTCTACAAATTTTTATGAAGATGTAACATTTATATGATTGAAAAGTCGAAATGATGAAAGTCAACGGGCCTCCTTGTGATTTCAAAAGTCGTCGCTTTGGTAATGTAAGTAGGCTAAAATTCAAAAGATTTTCGTAAAAAAAAGCAATCATTTTGATGAATCAGTACCTTTATTATGATTCGACACCAATCAAGTCATTTGATTTTACCCGTAAACTGATCTCGCCATGCTTGTTTACATATGGTGCGACACACACGTGACACGAGTAACGTCGCCGAAGACGTGCTGCAGATTAATTAACGTACTCATCCCCGCGCGTCGCTGCAGCTGCAGTTGGTTGCCGAACGCCCAACGCACATAGCAACGTCATGTATATCGCATTTCACCCGCATGGGTCGCGCAAAATTGAGCGATCGGATATCAATAAAGCGGCGTCTCGGTACGACCAGGAAAGCAGGAGGTAGCCGAGTCTCCGGGTTCTATATAAGCGCGCCAACTGCCGCGGCGAGGGCGAGACACTCTCGAGTGTGGGTGCGTGCCTGTGTGTGTGTGTGTGTGTGTGTGTGTCAGTGTGTGTGTGCGATACGAGACTTTCCGCCAGCGATAGCCGTATACGGGAACTCTATATAATGCAGCAATCGGAAAATCGAATCGCGACTGAAGCGGTAAGGTAGAGCCGACCGGAGGAAGCGTCTGCTCAGCGCGTGGCCCCGCCGACCCCTCTCCCGTTTCTTTCTCTCTCTCTCTCTTTTTCTCGTATGCGGCAGAAGACGCGAGATCTCTGCGCGACTTGTACATAGCTGCTTCGATGTCATTTTTGACGTTTATTAGTTGACTTATATATCAACAAGTAAATCGAATTACGAGCTGCTTGTGATCGCGAGCTATGGCCACCGGCTCGTTACCCGGTGCCCAGGGCACGCCCGAGTCCGAGGCTGGGAGTTTCGAGTGCTTTCAAAATTACACGGCCCCGGAGGTCTTCGTGCAGGGTCTCGCTGGGATCGTCGACCAGCAGGACGTCGAATCCATGATTCGTGCTCAGAAACAAATGTAAGTCATAATTTAAATACGTCACGAATACATGTTATTTGTTAGTATTTGTTTTCCAAGTTGTCGTATTTGACAGCGTTGATAGCCTGTAGTAATGCACAGTTTTGTTTACAGGCTTCAAAGATTTGAAAAAACGAATGAAATGTTGACAAATTGTAATCAATTGTCTGTCAGTCGCTTGAAAACAGCCAACGCCGAGTTCAAGAAACACACAGCCTTGCTCACTGATATGAAGAAAGATTTGGATTATATTTTTAAGAAAATAAGGGTACTCAAAACTAAAGTGAGTCAGCAGTATCCAGAAGCGTACAATGGTAAAATTGTATTTATAAATAACTTACATGTTTTATGAATCTTGATAGAACTTAATCGTATTATTTACATTTATAGAAGCTGTGAAAAGCACGCTAGCAGAAGAAGTTGTAGAAGATTCTGAAGAGGATGAGCAATTTGCTGAACAAAAAAATATACCACAGACCAGTAAAAGCTCGAAGACTGATAAAGATACAGATTCAGATGGTAATGACTTTGTTATATATTGAAAGCATAAACAATTTTCTTGTTTAAAATCAAAGAGATTGAATTTGTTCAGAATAATTTGGTCTCGACTACTCAATGAAAAGGTGTGATTTAAGCAGAGACAAATGATTTTCTTGAAAAGTTGACAAGGTTTTTGAATTTTTGTTAATGGAGTCATTTCTCAAACGCTTTGTATAGAATAGAAAATAATACCAAAGTGCACATTTGATATATGTTCATAATTTATTAGAAAGTCTTTTATAGTTTGTATAGTCTTTCATAAAATTGTAGTTCTAGTTTTGATTTGGATTTTTATTTTATTAAATAGAAGCTGCTGCCAAAGAGCCTCAGTTTGAAAAACTTCGACATAGACAATTAAAAAGACATGATAGCTCTTCAACTGAAACTGATAATGAACCAAGTAAACCAGCAGACTCATCTTCATATTCTTCAGATACCAGTTGATTGAAAAATTTTTCTAGTTCATGCCATCTTCGAAATACTTGTGAGGCTTGTAAATATATTTATTGTTAATATTAATTGATATCAGTATTTTTAAAAGATAACTATTGCATAATGAAAATAATTATCAGGATAAAAAATCGCACAAGTCCAATCTAAGGGAAATTGTATTGTAAAGTGATTTAATTCCTAGTTTAAATAAATTTAAGTAAAGTTCAATGAAACAACACAAAAGAAATGAAAATAATGTATAAACTGTTATTTTTCTTGTATCACGAACTTGAAACACTTTATCAATTTTTTAAAATATTTATTAATTTTAAAATCAAAAAATTGTATTTATTTGTTTTATTATTCGAGGCTATAACTAAAAATTTTTGAAATACTTTTTGTAATTTGAAAATTTTTTAAATCCTACAGTGTGCAAAGCTTAAATCTAATATATTTTAATATGTTATGCTGCAAACTAAAATTATATGAGATATTTAAAATGCATAAAAAATAAATGTCAGTTTATCAAAGAGCTCATTGTAATTTTTGGCTAATTATACATTCTCATTACAAGTATGAATGTATTGATACTGCCCATTTCTTTTAGATCTTATTTAAATCTATAATTTTACATACAAATATGTTGAGCCATACAATTTATTCACATTTAGATTTTCTGAAAATAACTTCAAGTTGTACCAAATTCCATTAGTTAAAATTGGATTTTCTGAATTCAATGGTAATATTCCTCTAATAATCCATAATCCTCTTATTGGCTAGAAAATTTTTTTCTTGTTTGAAACATCAAAATATTTTATGTACTAGATAATTTAATTTCCTTTAATATCGAACGAGTAGGGCTCGTAACGCCGATTTGGTTGCAAACGGGACCCGCCAATAGAAGTACACCGATCGTAGGTAAAATGACCTACAGTACAATATAATAGTTCATATCGATCCTTGAATATCAGGAGACTGGAGCGAACGAACTTTCACGATTTATCCTAATGATATCTGGCAATGAAACCTCGCTCATAGCCGCATTATCGCAGTCCTCTATAAATATATTACCTTACAATAAACAGCAGCTGCGATTAGCCACATGGTTTTTTTGCCGCTATAGCTGTAATTTATAAAAATAAAAATGTCTCGCGATCGCACACGTGCGACACACGTGCGTGCGGTGTTTGTGTTTTATGCAGCATGTGCCTCTGCGTCACACGTGTGGTCGCAGCGCATTTCGGCGTTCTTGGCGAATGTCCTCACCCACACAGAGTTTAATTATAAATTTATAATGCTTATTCCCTCTTTAAAAAACTTGAAGAAAATCGTTGAATAAGTAAAAAAAAATCCGGCACACATAAGATTGGGACCTCAGGTGTATATAATTTATAAATAGTTCGCATAATTTCATCGAGACCTTTGTAAAATACGATTGTATGTAAATACAATATTCTGGTTGAACGAGTTTAACAATATATAAAAAAAATATGTTTGGTCTAAATATATATTAGTAATGATAAGAATAAAAAATTCAAAACAAAAGCTTGTTTTTATAAATGCGTCGGTTTTGCATCGCTGAATCTCAGTGAGAAATTAAACGATGTGAAGAATTATCGAACATTTGAGTATTTGCAATGTTACTTCCTATTAATAAATTAAGAGTACCTCCCCATTTAGAATATTTCTCTGATTATTTTATATATCATATATTTCAGTGAAACTGTTTTTCAAATCTATATAGATTATACTTGATTAAATTTTTTTTTAAATTTCTTTAATCAGTAAACTAGATGGATCTTTCTTTAATAATAAATTCCATATATTACTTCATTGTTGTTTAGTTTAGTATATGATTTATTTTATTCGTTTTATTTTCACGCTATAAAAGTTCAAATTGATACACCATGTAAATTTTGCACAATAACAACTTTTTTTTAAGATTGAACGTAAAGATGCAAATGAAAAATTCCTCAACTTTGTTGTCTGCAAAAAACAATAGAAATTTTAAAAATTTAGATAAACAACATTATTTAGATATCAAGAAATGAAAAATGTCAAATACCTTAGCGACATCACATATTTTGGCTTCGTTCGTTTGCAACAATTTCTGTTGCCTGGCATATTCTCAACAAATCCTCGTTCTTCAGTTTCCCAATGATAATTTCACAGCAATCAATCGTCAACCGGTGGCGCGTCAGCTCCAAGAAAGATTCTATTGTCCATCGCCGACAAAAGTCTCTCGACATTATTTCACAAAGATACCCAACACAAGCCGATACTTTAGGGAACTTCCACCAATTGGTAGTCTCTTCCAACCTCAAGTAGTCCGCATGTGTGACTAGTTTCACCACCTCCTCGGGTCGCATGCGAATTAGATCGTACAGAGACAAATTCTGATTCAACATTGTTCTTTTCGCTTTGCTCGCGAATGCCTCGTCGTCGTACCAACATTTTTCAAGTTCCGCCGACTTCTCCAACATTCTGTGCTTATCGAAATAATTCATGATCATCAGGGCGCCGCTTTGGTTCAGTTCGTGTCCTTTTTTTTCGAGGCGCTCGACGATTTTCAACGTACCAGAAACGAATTCCAATCTTCCTGCTCTTTTAAGGGACTTATCTAAGTGAGCCTCAGAAGGAAAAGCGATGACAGACAAATCGGCCTCACGAGCTAAGAGTACGTCGACCACATCTAACAGTAGATTTTTCATCGCTAATTGCAGCGGTGTCCGGCCCTTCTTGTCCCGAGCTTCTACCTGCACCTGCCGATTGACTTCGTCACAGATGTCGAATAACATCTTCGCAAATCCATTGAGATCTTTTCTACTGGATATAATGTGCAGTGCGGTCATTCCCAAGTTGTCGGTCAAATTCGGATCACCCCCTCTTCTCAGCAGCAAATTAGACAATTTCGCATTGCCCGAGCGCAGAGCCAAGTGGAGCGGCGGAACGAATTTGTCCTCGTTACAGTGCGTTCGCAGTAGCAGAATATGCCGAGGTAAATGCAATGCTACGATACCCTCATAAAATCATCACCTTCTGCCAGGGTTTTGCTAGGATTTTATAAAGAGTGAATCGATAGCTTTCTTAGAATGAGATTCAACTTGGAAGGTTCTGCTACTCTGACACACGAAGCCTCCGTATAACGAGCTCACAGTTTGAGAGTATGTCGATCACGCCATATTTCCGAGCCGAGAGTGCGTCGGTTTTAGCGCCGGTGTTGATTCCGGTCATAGTCGCGGTATTTGCCGCGACATTATACCGGCACGCAGCTCGGCATCGTGCTGGTGTTGGTCCCGAGAGTAACCTCAGCTTAGCATGGTATTTGCCGCGACATTATACCGGCACGCAGCTCGGCATCGTGCTGGTGTTGGTGCCGAGAGTAGCCTCGGCTTAGCCCGCGACATTATACCAGCACGCAGCTCGGCATCATGCTGGTGTTGGTCTCGAGAGTAACCTCGGCTTAGCCCGGTTCAGTATATAGCGGTAGTCAGGAGTAGACTGTAGAGCCCGGAACGCGGAACGCGCGTGAACTCGGTTCATCACCCCAGGTGGCCAACTCGATGCACCAAGTATAGATATCGACCCGGCGACGACTTTCTCCGTGGAAGTCGAACTGTTTTCGCTACTCCGCCCACGGGTGACCTACTCGGTGAGCCAGGTATGAATATCGACCCAGCGACGATGATCTCCGAGGAAGTCAAGATATTTTCATTACTTCTTTCACCCGGGTACCCTAATCAGTGCACCAGGTATAAATATCGACCCAGCGAGGATGTTCTCCGAGGAA